TAAGCACTGGATAATTTGTGGAAGTGGTCCAAACGATGAGAGGTTAGTGAGCCCTCCCGTCTTCAAAGCACTTTGTAATTTGACGGTTTATGGGGTAAGATTTTTGAAAGACTGCAAAACAGCCCACTCATTTCGTGGAGTTCGATTCCTTGTAGAAGAAAATTGCCGATTTCTATTGAGGTGGGGATAAGTTCTCAAAAGTGTGAGCACCTTTTTGTCGACATGATCTTGAGGCTACTACTTCATCGTTTCTGCGAAGCTGTCAGGCTGTTTCAGTCCCCCTTAACTTTGTCGCTTTGAGGGTTTCGCTTTAAGTTCAAGGTCGAGCTGCAAAGTTTCTGACCCCTTCTAAAGTGATCCTTCATGCAAACTTGAGGGGGGAGATTCTTCTCAGTAGAATTTTTTTAGCCCAATGAGACATACGTATTTCATGACACATCTACTTCATGACTTCTGGACTATCAGCATTAACCAATTACTTCTTTTAGACCTCCCAACGACTGCGGAAAGGCTCAAGTAACGGGCGAAGTTCTTGATGGCAGTCACTACAGAATCAACGCAACTTTCATATCTGAAAGGTCAGCCGCAATTTTTCATATATTTTTTTGTTCCGTAAATTACACTCTTCATACTATGACATTCAAACATAGGGTGCAGTATACAGCGTATATACGTAGAGGGAGATATCAAAGTTGACAAATGTCCCAAGCCCAATGTTTATTGTTGCCTAGTTGATGGCAACCTCATTCGAAATGGAGCAAGCGGAAAAAAACGATAGATGCCTAGATTCCTTTCGAACTTGTTGACGTCTGCAATGTGCGCGTGGAAAACCTGGAATTTATTCCATGCGGGAACGAGCTTTTTTCGACTTTCAGACTTGTTTAAGGTTATCAATCAACACATTTGAGTTGTAACTATACTATTATCCGAAGTTCTAGACCTTGCGATCTGTTTCTGTAGAGCCGTGAAACATTCCGAAAAGCAGACTTTTTTCCTGAGTTCAGAGAAGCCGTAAAATAAATATTAAGGGAGTTATTGTGATGTTGGTAGCTTATTTCGAAGTCGATCGCAGCATTGCAGGGATCCCATCAAGAATGCCAAAGTTGACTCAACGTCAACGGTGTACGCCGTCGCACAAATAGGACTCAAAGGTGGCATTTTCCAGTACACAAACGCACTAAAGGTATCCGGTATTGCCGTTCCTCATTTTAGTTTTCTGCCTATTTAATCATTTTAAGAGGCAATCTACAGTAACGTTTTCAGCTGTTACGGTAAAATAATTATGTATAGAGCCAATATTTCAACAGTACAGTAATAAGCTTAACCTAATCTTCATTAAACCCAGGATCAGAACAGTTATTTTCAGGTACTCGGCAAACCAGCATCAAAGCTCACCTTCGACGAGGCATTCTTCTGTTACAAAGGAGCAGTTTTGGTCGACGGTGATAAATGCCGTAAGGAATTCCGACGACTTCGTGATGATCCGATACGAGAACGTGAACCGATCCATATTGATCGACTCATAGCACTCTAGCCTCTCTATGTCTGTACTCACTCAATAAATCAATAATCCAACTGCACATTGCCGTAATCTGATTGCACGATTAATGTACATGTGTCTTTTTAATAAAATAAATGTAAATTTCTCATCACTAATGAACACATAATGGGAACAACTGATTGCATGCATCAGTCAAGTTTGTCCGTGTTTTGTTGTTTGTAAACATGAAAAAAACATTTTTAAAAAACTTAGCACTATGACATCACTGCACTGTGCTCATCTCTATATATTACTTATGTCTAAGGAAAACCCTGTTTTTGGAATCTTTCAATGTGATTTGAAATTGCATCTTGTCTGGCGTCTTCTTCTCCACCAAATGGGCGATTTAGGATTTGAAAATCCTAAAATTTCACTTTCTGTCTTCCTGTCTTGTCTTGCAAGTGACTGGGTAGACTGACCGCTCTTTCTGGGGTGACGTGCATTAGGAACGAAATGGTCGCGTCGCTGTGAGAGGGGCGCCGCGCGCGAAGGAATGTAGCAGGATGCAGCAGTAGGTAAGAAATACAAGAACAAAAGTACTGATAGTAGAATTATGCATAAAATAATGATCGCATATCGATTGAGCTGTATAAAGAACGCTAGAGCTGTAATCACGGTGGATGAGTGATTCGCGACAACCGCGTGCGGCGAATTGATTACCCAAAATCGTTCCTAACGCCCGTCTCCCCGCTTTCTGTAGCCCTTACCATCCAGAAGTGAATGCAATGCATGGCGCATTCCAAGGAAGTCAGTGGTAGGACAGTTAGACATTGAACACCCTGATAAGACGAGTGCTTGCGGAATCTTTATTCTGAAAGATAGAAACAAGCATTGCATAAATTCTTTCCTCACTTCGACCGCTTCGGGTTTCCACCTACCTTTGACCACTTCAATGGAATCTACATATACCCCACCCACCTTTTCCTCGATACCCTTTCGTTTCCCGATAGGCCAGCGTGGTTCAATCGTCCTGCTATTTCACGTTCCGTTACGATTTTCTCCCAGTTTATTATGTTCTCTTTCCATTATTACAAGATCTCTTATTATTTTCTAGCAAATAGTATGGCAGATTAGCATTTCTGCAGTTGCATGCTTTGAAAATCTTCAAGGAGGTGCTATGGTTCAGCACCCTCCTAAAACCTAGTCGAATATCTTTTTAAGGCTATTTCTGAAGACGTTGTATGTTAGATCTTGCAAAATTGATTGATATGGTCGACTAAATTTTATTGCATACATATTTTTTAATGCCATTCGAATGCGGTAGAAACGAGAGGAAGGTGGAGAAAAGATTAAGCCCTCACTCTATCTTACTCAGCACGTCTTGCTCCCTGATCATCTTCGGTACCAGAAAAGCGAACGTTTGCTACTCTTTGAGTGCTATGAATAGTGGTACTTATGGTGGAGCTGTAGAGTGGGTTATCCGCTCTTATCCAACGCGGAAAGGGAGGGGTGACCAACTTTCTGAGCCCAAAATGGTGCTTGGGAACGTTTCTTGGCCGAGAAAATAATGATTTCCTTCAACAAAGCTTTATGAAGGAAAAAGCACTGGAAAGGATGGGTCAATTGAACCTTCAGTACCACCCACCCCAAATTCTTGCCCAAAAATTTATACTCTACGGTGCTTCTTTGTCCTGAAGCTTATGTAGGAACTATTATATCTTTCTTTAATTGAGAGTCGTCTCTAAGCATAACTAAAGACGGCTTGAAACCCTTCTTTTCTCATTCCTCTCATTCTAGCGCTCACTTTTGAAGAAAAGTAGTGCCCCTCCTCCCCTCTCTTCACCCCTTGACACACAATCTCATCTACAAACCAATAACGGTTCATCCTCCAACAACTGGGTATACACATGTTTATGAATATTGCAAGCAACTCCTTCTGCCATATTTTTCAGGGGTATCAAGCCACGAAGGGAGGGCCAAATTTTCCGAACAGTAATACATTACTGGTTTTCAGGTCTCTGTCCTCCTGGGTCATTCTTCAACACTAGATTGGAAGAATGCGAACTTTGTTCGATCGGATATTATCAACCTGATGCTGGTAGGAACACTTGCTTGAGATGTCCAGATGAGCGGTCTACCGGTGCGGAAGGAGCAGTTCAGGAATCATCTTGCATTCGTTCGTTTTTGTCTGTTACTTCTTAAAAAGAAAGTAGCCGGAACATTTTCTAGAGGGAGATCAGAGCTTGAACGGAGTACGAGTTTCATCGATAAGTTGGGACCTTAGGAAGAGGACCAAGGTCCACCAAACTCGTCGAAAAGTCAAGAAAAGCTCATCATGGTGAAGTTTTCAGCTGTGTGCCCAGCCGGTTTCTTTTTTGACTACAACTCAGCTAACTGTGAACCATGTGGTCTGCGCGGATTCCAACCCGAGAGCGGCACTGACAAGTTCTCTGCTTTAATTCGTTTATTTTTCTGACCTCGTCCTCTTGTAGAATCATTTTCTGAAATTCTTCGAAATTTTCCCCCAAAATTCAAAACTGTAGGTGTATTCCTTGTCCACCGACGATGGTACCGCTCTACTTGAACTCAACAAGGATTGAACACTGCCTGGGTGAGTGAAATCGCTTAGTTTCAATATCAAAAGCGATTTCTTCCTAACAGAGGAATGCCCGCGTTATTTCAGAGAAATGTGCCGATGGTTGGCAACGTTCAGCGGATGGACACCGATGCGAACCGTGTCCACTGGGTTCATTCAAGTCCCAAGACGATGCAGTTTGTATGCAATGTCCGGCTGGATGGTCTACTCTGAACAAAGGGTCGAAGCACTTGAATGAGTGTAAAATCAGTGAGTTCTGGAAGAATTCGAAGAAATGTGAGGGATGGCAGAAAGTGACCATACCCATTCATATTCTTGCAGAAATCTGCTATCCTGGCACTTTCCTGAATGCCTCAACGTTCCAGTGCTCACCTTGCGATTATGGTCTCTACACAGACGAGTATGATAGCCGAATTTGCAAATCCTGTCCGGTCAGCACGACCACTTATCAAACAGGTTTCCAACGTTTCTCTAGAGGTTTCGGAGGTTCCAGTAATTTGATGAAAAGTTTGTTGCCACCGAATAAGAGCTCTTGAAATCGAATTAACAAAGCGGCTGTTACTGGATTGACAGGAAAATACTGATGAAAACCTAGACAAGGGAATCTGTTCCGATCATTGGCTGGAAGAGAAAACTAATTCGAGGCTTCTCTGAGGCAAATTCTGCAAATAGGAGCTCGTCAAGGTTCCAGTCCATCTCCATGCGTGAAATTGAAGCCAGACTTCATGCAAGTCAATGATAATCTATAGATATTTTGATTAATAAGTAATTGCAATATAACAACGACTGAGTGGATTCTGGAAAAAGTCACCATCACTACTTCGTCCTCGAATGGAGGCTTTAGGGACAAAGCAGTAGAAGTATTTGATGTGGTCTTTTGCCTGCCTCTCATGCAGGACAGCTCAAGCTGGGATGGTGGGCTCAGCAGAGAGACGATAGTTGTGCTGCTTTAACCCTTCATTGAAGCCTTATTTTCAAACTATGCTCATGTTAGGCTCGAACACTATCACTCAATGCTTATCTACCAATCAATGCAAGTCAGGAGCCCATACATGCCACTGGTTGGCGGCTTGCATGGATATGCCAGACTCTGATCACAAACCAAGGTAAAACTACCCAAATGCTGTCGCAATGTATGCCTTTCTTTACTCCTTTATTCTTCTCTCTCCTCATTTATTTCCTGTTGGCGTTTCCAGATATTCCTGCAAATGCAAACCAGGTTATGTGGGTAACGGCAATCAGTGTACAGGTAAGTTGGGCTTATATATAAGAAAGTTGTCGTTGACTCCTTGAAGAGAAATCCTGGTCGAAGACATGCCATGCCACTCCTGGGGTGTTTTTAGTGAGAGGAAAGTCCATTTAGCCAGGTTCAAGCGCCTGCCCACTCAGCCTGGCTCGGCGACCTTGCAGTGGTAGGGTCTTTGAAGAGGCTAGAGAGATTCTGAGCCAGATGATCCCTTCTGTGGTCGCAACCTAGCTCACTCAAGCAACAGGTAATGGATGGGTAGAAATACTAGTTGATGGCTAAAACAGTATAAAGTGCCGAGTTCTGCCCCCTTTTTTTCGGTGGTTCCTTCAAAATAGTGAGTAGTCCAGCAGAAGCAATCTTTATCAATCCTAGTTCCTAAATCATGATTATCGTATAGGCTTTGGCATCAGGCACTCCGTTCAAGTTTCTTGAGCTGCCGAGCAGTCCCTGTCAAATATAACCCCTATCGAATATGATTCTCGATTCAATTCTCCGTTCAGATGCCTGTGAAGGACTTTGCATTAATGGAGCTACATGTCTGAAGACTGGCCGTGGAGAGACACGCTGTCTATGCCTGCCGGGATACACTGGAAGACGATGCGAAAGCAGACTTTGAAGGGACAAAAGGGTTCGCAAAGTCTATGGAAATAAAGAACAGAGTTTTCTGACATCCAATAGATTTCATACAATTCAGCAATGCCAGAAATTATAATACGTTGGTGCTATTAATATATTGTAATAATACTGATAAATTATTTGATGAATTATGTTTCTATTGATGCACCACTATACCGAAAAAGGTTTCACCTTATGTAATTCATGAAAGTGGTTTTTTTAGGGTTATCGTTTGCAGGCCCACGAATCTAGAATTATAGTAAGTATCGAATTAGTACAGTCAAAAATAATGTGGTGGGTCCAAAAAGGGAATAAACCTAAGGATTATTTGACATAGGGGTACCCACCTAGGCCAAACAATAAATGAAAGATGAAAGCGACAAGCTGCCTGAACGTTGAAGTCGAGCAATGGATGAGTATGGTGCATACCTCTAATCTTCAACATCTAACCTAAGGAATGTCTGACATGGAGTTACCCACTTATGTCAAACAATCATTGAGTTCTTCATGAGCCGGACAATTCGTAGCAAATTCATCGAAAAATAAATGTTGTAAAATTCGGACGTCAGCCTATCTTTAGAATCCGTGTCATATGATCTCTTGAATGTCTCTGCTATTCTGAGCGGAAGCCGTGAGTACGGCTTAATCCATAAGAGATGGTAGAGTTACCCATATCACATTTCACCTCAATGAATTCCTCTAGAAGCAGCCTGTGCAGTGGAGCTCTGTAAAAAGAGGATTTGGAAAGGAAGTTGTTGTTAGTTCCTGTTAAGCTGGGAAAGATAGGTCAATCCTAATGCTATTTAGGAGAATAGCACTGAGGACTCAATCATGAAGCTTTATTGGTGAGCTTTCACTGTATTAACAGCTTCGTCAGACCTTAAAACTAACACACAAGTATTCAACATGCGTCTCATAAACATAAAATTACTAACCAGGCTGATGGCAGAAGTTCGTGGAATTCTGTAATACAACATGAGCATAACTAGTAAGTATTAAAGCGAACGGCTCACCCTGACAGCAGTTCCCAAGTAAATGAAAGCTACTAGAAATGCGACGTG